TATTAAAAGAGCAAATAAATAAAAAAATCATGGTAAACACAATAAATGAATTCCAAGAGAGAAATAAACAACTATTAAAATGAAAATGTCTATTTAAAAACGGCGGTGACGAAAAACAATAATTTAATAAAATTTTATTCACTGAATATTTTATTAAATAAAAAATTTGATATGAATTACTATTGCCGATTTACATCTTTTTTTTCTTTTTTTTTTTTTAGACCGCTGATTTTTTGATTTCTACCAAAAAGTGTCAGATATCTCCAAATGTATTGATTAGCAAAAACGTACATATAAGGTTTTGAAGATTATGAATATCATGCCTCCAAATTTCTAGAGCTTCATCGATTAACAAATTTAATCTTCTAATTCCTTGATATAATTTTTATTACTTAAAATCCAGCGTTTTTTCGCAATACACACTTGTATATTTGCAATTATTTCTTTATATTCAATAGATTTTTTATTTTTTTTTTTCCAACAAATCAACAAAAGTGCAAAATTACATAAAAATCGTTACTAAAATTGGTATTATAGATTACACCGATTTACTGCATGCTAAAAATTCCGACCACTATAATTTTTCGAAAAAATACACTATCCGTTAATTTTCATGACATGTCACGCGGCTATTATCATCATCATCACCTTTAGCAACATTGTTATCATCTTTAGTAACATCATCATTTTTAACAACGTCGTGATCATCTTTAGCAACGTCATCATCGTTTATAGTATCAATGGTAGTGGTAGTAATATCATTAGTATCTTTGGCTAATTGGGAAGTTTGTATGGGTGATTGGTCGCCGTGATTAGTGTGAGTGCTGGTGCTTGCTTCATCTTTTGGTGATGGTGCATTATCGATTTGAATGATAAAGTTGTTGTCTTCTAACAATGTTTGCCATCGGCTGATTAAATCTGTGCTTTTTCCAACAATATTAGATGGATCATAATCAAATTTTTTTCTAGAAATCTCCCTCATTAATTTACCCACTTTAGTGCCCCTCAACATCGGAACAGAAACGGGGAATTTTTCGATTTCTTCGAATATTTCATTGACTTTCTCAACATCTTGAGGCTCAATCCCTTCATCCTTAAGTACCAATCTTTGTAATCTACGTCTTAAGCGTAGCAATTTTTTCTCAAGTTTTTCGTGTTCTAATGATTTGTTTGATCTAGCGGTAGATGATTCTTGATTTTCGATTGGACTAGAATGATCATGAGCAGATGATTCTGCCTGATGTTCGCTTGAATCGTTGGCTTCTTGAGCAACATTAGTACTTTTTTCAGTTTTAACATTATTTTCATCTACATCCATACTATTTGCTTCACCTTTACCATCATCATCATCATCATCATCATAATCATAATTATGAGATGAGCCAGTTGCTCCGCTATTGTTTGCTTTGCGTTTTTTGCTACTTTTTCCGCCGTTATTTAAATCGTTAGAAGTCTCGGAAGGTTGCCTTCCTTTTCTCTTGCGCACGTTAGTGGTGGCGGTGGCGGAAGATATTTTGGTAATTTTTCTCCCTTTACTTTGAGCTTTATTTCTTACCGTTGCAGTTGTTTTTGGTGCGGTAGATGATGATAGTGATGATTTGTTGCTATTTTCTTCATCATTTTCATTGTTAGGCGATGATCCGTTATCATGATTGAAGTCATCAGTGTCCATACTACTATTATCTTCATCAAGAGACGACGGGTCAAATGCATCACGAATTGATTTTTCTAATAATTTATTTGTCCGTTTAGAAATCCAATAAATTATAATATAAATTATACCAGCAGAGATAGTATTAGCAAGAAGGTCTGCGATTACGAGCATCTTTTAAGAGTAAAAAAAAAGCTTTTATTGCTTTTATCTTTTTTTTTTTATGATTTTTTTTTGTTACGACAACGTTTTTTACCTCATAAATTTATATACCCTGCCTAGTTGTTAAATATTACGTACCTGATATTTAGGAAAAATTGTTGCGGTAAATAATAATAGGAAAAATTTTTTCACATTTTTTTTTATATAGTTTTCATAAAATAATAATAATAGGATTATTTTTATTATTGTTATTGTAAATTTTTTACTTTTAAATACAGGAATAACATCACAGATAATAATATTTTAGCTGTTGATAGAAGGAAGAATAACAAAAAAAACCTCCAAATTATGGAAAGTAGTAGTAATTACGAAAGTCCCAGATCATCTAGAAGAATTAGTCAACCATATAATGACGAAGTAACGAACGATTACGATTATAATATTAGTAAACGTTATGAACAGAGATCAGGAGGTGGAGGAGGCGGAGGTGACGAAGGCTGGGGATCAGCAACATCTTATGCTAAAGATTTAGAATGGAACGACGAAAGGAAAAATAGTGATAAATCTTATTCATCTAGAGGAGGTGGTAGTGGCGGAGGAGGTCAAAAATGGACTTCTTACGAAGGTAATAGTAGAGATCGAGGAGCTCCATATTCAAAAGGTGGCGGCACTGCTGATAGATATGATGATAATAGGGCTTCGTATTCAAATGATCGTGGTGATAAATATTACGGGAGCGCTGGTGGTGGCAGTAGTGGTAATAGGTCTCACCGTGATAGTAAACAATATTATGAAAGGGATTATCCTGATAGCTATGAGTCTGGAGATCGTTATAATTATCCTCCTGTTGCTGCTGATAGTAATAAGAGGGCTGCTTATACTGATGGTCAAGATTGGGGTAGAAATGATAAATATGACACAAATAATAATAATAAAACATATCCAAAACATGATAGTAGATCACAATACCCAGAAAGTGATAATAGTAGAAGACATGAATATAGTAGTAGTAGTAGAGGACATTCTGATAGATCTTATCCACCAGAAAATGATTATGAGCAATATTATAATAGTAAATCTAGACATGAGGAATCTTCTTATTCAAGAGTTGATGATTGGGACAGAAAAACTTCTTATCCAAGAGGTGGCAATGATTTGAAAAGATCTGCAGCTACATATGATGAATACAAGAATTTGAATGTCCGTGCTAGCGGTGGTAGTGGATATAATGATGACAACCATGATAACAGAAAAAGAACTAGACCATATCCTGATGACTATAATAATAATAATAATAATAATAATAGGGGAGGAGGACCAAAGTATCCTCCTCCTAACAGAGGCTATAAAGGATCAGTGACCACCACTCCACCCAAGTCAAATGATAACAAGAGATTAAAAACTTACGATGGTAGACAATCTTTTAGTAGATATGATGAAGGATCAAAAGATTACGACAGACAGGCAGTAGGAAATGAATCATCGTCAGAATTTGCTGAAGAACCTTTGTGGGAAGAAGATAAATATGGAATAAAGTCTCATGCCCCTAGTAAAACTGAACCTGAGGACCCAAATGATCCCTGGGGAAAACCTGCATCATCATCAGATCCTAATCATTGGGATAATTTTTGGGATAATTCTTGGGGTCCAATGCCAAGTGATAATAATACAGAGGAAAATAGAAGGTCATCGACAAATAATGAGAGATTATAAAATAACAAAATAATAATAATAATAAATAATAATATTGGTTAAACACATTCAAAATATAGATTGGGTTACATTTATGATCACAAGAAAATTTAATGATATCTTTCAATTGATTGACCTTTCTTTAAAACATAATAATAACACAAATAAATTTATAAGCTTTTTCTTTGATGATGAACAAAAATTTAAGGTAAGTTCTGCAATTACTCCTTATTTTACGTTTATTTCTTTTTTTTTTTCCAATTTGGCAAAATTTTTTTTTAAAGTAGGAAAAGAAAATTATGAAAAATTAAATTTTTTATGAATTCCTTTTTTTTAAAAATTTTTCTTATTTGAGTTCCCAGCAAAAATTCTTAATATTTGTTATTATAATTTAGTATAAAATTTATATAAATATATACAAAAGAAAAAAAACAAATCTATGATTTTTTTTTCTTCCTTTCTTTTTATTATTTATTATTACTTTCTTGGATGAAAAAATCGGTATTGTTTTTTAAAGAAATTAAAATTGTGGCAATTATTACTTTTTAAAAAATAACAAATCAAGACCTTTCTTTAATTGATTAAATCTTTTTATTACTGCAAAATATTTCTATCGGAAGAAATTATTATGCCAATCAATTTAATTATAGCGAGATTATTTTGAAAGAACCGACATTTTTAAAATATAGTTTTCATAATTTTTATTTGGAGATCCACAAGAACATCCTCCTCACATTATAACCTAACTAAAGAAAAGCTATTTACAAATATACAGATCTCCAAAATAAATAAAAAAGATGTACATTATATAAATTTTTTAAATGAATTATTTATTTCAGAGATTTGTGATGGAGATCATCTCAAAAATGGGAATTCATTTACCTCGAGATTATTTTCCATTTTATTGATAACCACCCTCAAAAGAAAGAGTGCATAATGATGAGTCTACATGTCAAATTTGGTGAGGATAAGTTACACAAAAACATATAAATTGGGGCACTTTTTAATATAAGAATGACCATTTTTTTTAAAATTCTCTCTTACAACTTCCAATTTTTTCTTCTCTTATCTGTTTTGTTTGTCGACATTTGTTAAGGAAAAACAATTTCTTTTCACGTATTTCACCTATCACACTTAAAATGTATCTTGATGATGTATTAAATTTCTTACAATAAATATGAATCAATTCCTTACTACATTTGTCACGCGGTATCTAACATTTTCCGTTGCAATATCAATGTGTTAAAAGCAAGAAAATTTATTTTCTATTGAAGATCAATACCATTTTGCACTACGCCTTTGATGTAATAAATAACACTGAATGCCTTGAATTGATGTGAAAGTAATGAAGCGAAAAATAGTTTTTTGATGGTACGTAAAGATACTTATCGATATATAAATGAAAGCTACTAGTATAATTGTTTAATGTATCTCTTGTAATCTAAGCCCTGGCAGAGTTATAGTGACAGTGTATTTGATAGATAGACAATGTCTTTGTGTTATAATGGGTGTTCTATTTACTAAACCCATATAAAAATCATTCATACTGAATACTTGACGAACAACGGTGGCAAGATCATGCTTATTGCTTTTAAAATGTTCATATACTGTATTTAACTCAATCACAAGTATGATGATGAACAACACTCTATTAATTGATTGCTTTAAATTTGATATTGCTACTATCAATGTCATGACTTCTTTTCTATATTTAAAAAATATTCAGTGTGTTTAATACCATGAATTATCCAAGAAATAACTTCACTCAATACCTTTTACTTTCTTTTTTAACAATATTCTATGTTTTAGAATTTGCATTATCCCATCCCCATACAATTTTTTATGCTCTTTGTTACACACACACATATATGTCATAGACAGATGACGGACAAACTTAATTTTCAACTTTATATTCATGATGATATTTACAACGTTTTTATGGATTAATCAATTGATTTGTGGATTGTCTATTATGTTTGTCTACTAACAAGGCGATACATATATAAACTAAGCTATTGATCATTGGTAAGGGTTTTCAAAAATCGTATTGATATTATGAACTGTAAAATAATACCTTTATAAATCCGAATCTAAATGAGTCTTTGATAAAAATTTTCAATAATTAAGAGACTTATTTTCTTGGTAATCAGTTTTTTGGATCCAAACAAATAAATAAGTAAACAAGAAGTTGAAATAAGCAGGGATCTGTGCACCACCTAGAAAAAAAAGTTATCAAAAAAAACATTGTTTTTGTCTCGAGTTAATTGGATATGATTCCAATTATTCATTCAACTTTTTTTTTGTTTTTAGTAACGAATCAATAATTTAGAACCTCAATGACTTATCCTTCTTGTGAGTGTAGTTAATGTAGATACTGATGCATATGAATAGAAGCAGTATATGTAATGGCTACCGCCACCATCATTGTTAACGTAATGGATGCTTGCTATTATTAATACCATGATTACCATTATCATCAATAGTATTATCATCACCATCGCCATTATCATCACTATTATCATTATCACTAGCGAAAATCTTGGTTGATTATATAATGGGTTAACTGGAAGAAAGCACATGAAAGAAATTTAATATTGTAAAAAAATAAAACAATTTTTAATTGTCAACACATGAATCTTTCTCAAGGACAAATGTCCCATTGCTTGGATAATGTCGCAAATCTGAAAACATTTTCCCTATATAGTTGTTACTATAAAGTATCTTAAAGATCGTTTCATCAAAATCACCATCTTCGGTCCACAACTTTTTTAAAAAAACTATTTTTTTAATTTCTTCAAGTTTTTACATTAATATTAATCAAAAAACGAAACTACGGACGGCTAACAAAACTCGGAATTGCATTTCTAGCTAAGCCTCTCTTTAGCCTAAGAAGACTAGTAAACAATCCAAACATCATTGAAACTAAAACATATATAAACATAGTACACATTATTTATTAGTATTAGATTATCAAAAAATAATTTCTTACCTCTTTATTTATTACAACAAACATTCTCTATTATTATTGAAAAGAAAAAAAGTCCCAACAATGGGTTAAGTAAAATACTGTATATATGATGCAAGTCACTTAGTCCCACAATTTTTTATTGGTTGTGTAGATTTTCAAATTCTCCAAAAATGGAAATGCAACACCCCAAAATAAATCGTGTATTTGAAGCCAAGACCTTCCTCTACAAAATCACGATTTCATCTCATTGATATGTCATGTTGTTGTGGAGGATTTGAGCTTCAAAGTTGCACGAGTTTACTGAATTTACTATATATGTTTGCCCTAAAATGACAAATAAAAATTTGAAAAATTTCCCTTATATTGCAGATCTTTTGCCATGCGAATTTTCCAGACGAACGGGAAGAGAATTATCTTTATTATTAAAAAAAATACAAAGAACAGCTAAGTTCATTTATTTTAAATCTAATAAATAGACTATTGCCTTAATCAAAGAAATATGCAATTTGCAAATATTCTAATGAATGTTTATCAATTATTTAATAGTTTGTGTAGGAGTAATTGAAGTAAGCTTTAAGGACAAGCAAGATCTATGAACAAAATATACTAACAAAGGTTTTATCAATCATTCAATAGTTTATATAAATTTCTCTTTTATTTTAACTAATATTTAATAACATCACTATAATCATTATTGTTGTTGTTTATTGTTCTACATAGGAATAAATGTAAAGGAAAAATTCTAATATATTTATTTAGCACTTGACAATTTTTAAAAATCATGTGACTGTAAAATTTTTATTGTAAATTTTTCTCAAAATTGGCGGTGTGGCACAGAAAGTTGTGGGACTAAGTGACTTGTACTATACACAAAATTTTATTTGATAATTAATTTAATTGTATTGTATTACGCGTTATTATTATTAATCTGTTCAAAATTAAAATTCAAAATTATTTGTATTGCGCTTTACATAATGTCTCCAATTCAACAACGAAAAACTCAACTAAATAAATCAAGTACTGATGATGCTGCAATAGACCACGAAGAATTACAATATCTAAATCTTATACAACGGATAATGAATCATGGAGAAGCTCGTGAAGATCGTACAGGAACTGGAACCAAAAGCATATTTTCACCACCTCAACTGCGTTTCTCTCTAAGGGATAACATTATACCATTATTAACAACTAAACGTGTTTTTACGCGTGCTGTTATTGAAGAACTGTTATGGTTTATTAAAGGTGATACAAATTCTAATCATTTATCCGAGAAAGGTGTTCATATTTGGGATGATAATGGATCCAAAGAATTTCTCGATAAAGTCGGATTAACTGATAGAGAACAAGGAGATTTAGGACCGGTTTATGGATTTCAATGGCGTCATTTTGGTGCTGAATATGTAGATTTTAACACAGATTATACTGGTCAAGGAATTGATCAACTTGCAGACGTTATTAATAAAATAAAAAATAATCCAACTGATAGACGTATTATTTTAAGCGCTTGGAACCCAGCTGGTAAAGAAATATTCCAATAAATATATATATTATTATTTAAAAAATATATAATAATCTTTATTTATTTCTTCTTTCATGTTTATATAATAAGATTTAAAGAAAATGGCATTACCACCATGTCATATGTTCTGTCAATTCTATGTATCCAATCCGGATCCAATCACTCAAAAAAGGTCATTATCTTGTCTCTTATATCAAAGATCTTGTGATATGGGATTAGGTGTACCATTCAATATTGCTAGTTATTCTATTTTGACTAGGATGGTGGCACACGTTACAGGATTAGAACCAGGAGAATTTATTCATACAATGGGTGATGCGCACATTTATATTGACCATATAGATGCATTGAAAATACAATGTCAACGTGATCCAAGAGAGTTTCCCAAGTTAGAATTTCAACGTAAGATTAATAATATAGATGACTTTAAGTACGAAGATTTTAAAATAATTGGGTATCAACCTCACAAAACTATTAAAATGAAAATGTCTATTTAAAAACGGCGGTGACGAAAAACAATAATTTAATAAAATTTTATTCACTGAATATTTTATTAAATAAAAAATTTGATATGAATTACTATTGCCGATTTACATCTTTTTTTTCTTTTTTTTTTTTTAGACCGCTGATTTTTTGATTTCTACCAAAAAGTGTCAGATATCTCCAAATGTATTGATTAGCAAAAACGTACATATAAGGTTTTGAAGATTATGAATATCATGCCTCCAAATTTCTAGAGCTTCATCGATTAACAAATTTAATCTTCTAATTCCTTGATATAATTTTTATTACTTAAAATCCAGCGTTTTTTCGCAATACACACTTGTATATTTGCAATTATTTCTTTATATTCATGATAATTTTCTCCATTTGACAATTTCTAATTCAAATAAATAAATCGTTTTAAAAATTGTGCTTAAAACCCATTAAAAAATTTTTTTTATTAATACACACATTACACATATATACATATATACATGTGTATAAGTTTATAAATTAACATTTCCATATTCTAAAAAAATATCATAATAAATTAAATAAATTAATATAACTTGCAAATACTTTAGCTGATTGACCATTCATTAGTCATTTCACTGAAAGTAGTAAATGCATCCTGTATTAAATTTAAAAAAAAGTTATTAAATGGGGGTTTTTTTCTAAAAAAAACAAAATTAGTAATAATAAAGTAACAAACTTTTTTACCTTACGTGTACAATCTATATAATTGCTTTCAGTAGTAGATAATGAAACTGTAGAATGAAGTTGTTTTGAATGAAAAGCTGCCAATTTACCAAAATCACTTTGTGATATTACCTATATTATAGATATATACAATTCATTATATATTTATTTAAATCTATTATTATTATTATTATTATTTATTATTTAGTACATACCCTATAATCTGTTTTACTTAAAATCCAATTTTCTACTATTGCATTATTTACACCATCTGCATGATCATAATAATCATGCCCAGGATCAATTGAAAACCCAGAAATTATAACATGATTAAATTTGGAGTATGCTTCTTCTCTTAATTTAATAGAGTCTGTAACTAAATAATATATCACCTTTTTGTTTGGTGGAGCATAAGTTCGTGTAATCTGATCAGCACAACTAAAAAAGTGACTGTAATCTTGTAATGAAAGCGTTTGTTCATAAACATCTCCAGTTCGTATATGAATACCAACAGAAAAAATATTCGGTAGTGCAAATAAAGCTGAATATTGTGTAATGAAAGATAATGCTGGTGGAACTGGTCTAAATAAATAATCTACTATACATCCAAATGCAGTATGTGGTTTTAAGCCAATTTCCTTTAATTTAGACGAATAATATTTTGAGTCAAAGGTTCGTTGTATCAGTCCTTGATTTGTATAAAATTTTATAAATGGGTCCGGATATCTTGTTGTCCAATTGGTAAGTGGAAAATAATAATCTAAATCTTGTAAATCGTAATCAATGATATTTATTTCAGTTGTATCAAGATCTTTAATAACATAACTTGGATCAAAAGAATCATAACTCCAGTCAATATTTGGAGACTCAAAAATTGCATCAAGTGGAAGTGGAACTTGCCAGTCTGCAAGGAACGCTCTATCTGTAAGTAATGCAAATAAAAACGTGGATGTCATACCAAGAATACTATGTATATTTGAACGAATTAATAAATTTCAATTAATTAATTTATAAAATTATTAAATATATAAATGTATACGTCTAAAAAAGAATTTAATTCTAATCGCTTACCGGTCTGCCAATCCACCACAATTCATTTTAGCATCACATACATATCCTGCATATCTTTGAGCAGCGCTTCCATTTATAATTTCGTTATGTAATTTCGTATAGCCTTCTTGCCATGATCCACAAGAATAATCTAGGCTATCGTCAGTATGTTTTTGCAACCTTCGTAATTTGGCAAACTCCTTATTTTGTTCATCTGAAAGTGACTCAAGAATGTCGGTATGTGTGAAATGAGGTCTTGCTACAATATATGTATAGTTAATGTAATCTATTGTAATGTTATCTTCATCAAAAGAAGCTCCGTTTGGATTATATAAATTTGGATTAACATTATATTTAGTTCTTTTCTTTTTTCCGAGTTTGTTGGTTATTTTTTTATGCGTTAATTTTATTTTTGGTTTATCAGAAAACTCAAGATCGTTTTCTTTCATCGTATCTTCGATAATATCATTAGGTGTAGGAATGATATTTTCATTATTATTCGGTTGATCTGTTGGTTTTTCATCAGTTGTAATATTGTTATCATTTTCAACAATTTCATCTTCGTTATCATTGTTATTATTATCATTATTCGGAATGTTATCCTTATTTATAATATTATTGTCGATATTTAAAGGATTTTCTTCATCCTTTTCCTTGACTAAATTAACATTATCCTCTTCTCCAATATCTTTTCCCCAAAAATTAGCTTTATCTTCATGTAAACCATTATTAACGTCGTTATTCTTATTCCTCCCTTGATAATCACCAACTATAGGGTTAGGATCATTAATAATAATAGAAGTGTCAGTTTCAATGAGCAATTCTTCATCGACAGGGCCTATTCCACACAGGCTACACAAAAAAAAGACAACTGCACATAAAAAAATCAAAAAGAAAAAAATATTTTTAAAATCTAATTTAGATGTTGGTGGATTAATGGTAGATCCATTAAAAGGTTTTCGTTGTTTTCTAAATGAAAAAGGATCGGCTGTTTTATTTTTTGAGGGTGTCGGAGGTGATGTTGTAGTGAAGGACATCTCGTTAATAACGAGAGGTTGAAGATTTTGAGAAGTATGAGAATCGAGTAGTGAGTTTGGTTGAGGAGTGTATTGTTTTGTGTTGTTGTTATTATCAAAAATACGTTGGTTAGGCAAGAAATTATTATCTGTTGAACTATCGTTACCATTACTACCTGTACTTATACTCCTAGTACGGCGTAGTGTCCCTTGTCCAGTAGCAGACATTTATTATTATTATTGATTTTGATGTGAATTTAAAATGGTATAAAAATTCTTAATTTCTTTTAATTTTTTCATGTTGTTTGTTATTTATTTATGTAAAACATAATTTCATGCTTCAATAATAGTTTTGCAGACTATTTCTAAATTTGGTTAACAATTTGTTACATCAACAAATTCGATTGGCCACTTTGAAAATTTCAAATTCACTTATGGTGCGCCGTATCTAAAGACATCAAATGCTGCGCCTCATGCCGAAATTTTTAACACCGATCTTTCCTGATTAA